CATTTTCAAAAAAATCGCTGAAGAAGTAGGGTACATGGTGAAAAAATGCCCAAAACTTAATAAAAAAAAACGCTTTACCGTCAAAATGTTTGTGTGATTATTAGGAGGAAAGATCAAATGATTTTTTAATTTTTGAAATTTATACGTTTTTATCCTTTTTTGACCCTTGAAAATTTCAGTTAAAAATCTTGTTGGACTTTAAATTTTTTACGGGAAATTTGAGCGTTTTATTTTGTTTTTGCTTTTTGTCGTGAAAAACACATCGTTTTGTAAATTGTTGCAAAAATCAGATTATTGTCAGATTTTAATGAAACTTTTGGGACTTATTCGGAGAGGAATGAAATCATTTTTGAAACTATTCTCTTTTAGAAAATCTTTGAAAAAATATTTTTTATATCTGTTTCCCCCAATGAATTTAATTTTTGTAAAATTTCGTTAAATTTTTCTTTGTAACGCTTAACAGTTATATTTGTTATAAGGCCAAGTACTCGGAGAATTTAAATCTTCGACAACAATATCCCCAATTTAAGAAACTTTGCCCTGAATAATAAAATAAAAAAACACAATGAAATTAAGGCATTTTAATGCGAAAAGCTTTTAATTGTTTTTATGAATAAAATATATTATGGACAATATTTCCTTATAAAATAATGTTTTTCAATGAATAAATAAATTTATTAAAGAATTATTTTCATTTTCTTTCAATTTTAATTAGAATCATAAACTTTTAAATCTTTTAAAATTCTGTATTAATTTTGAGCCGTCAAGTGATATTTCTTATTAAATTAAAACTATTTACTAATCATAAATGGAAAATCTCATTGCAATGTAAATGAAGTGAGGTCCTCATGAGCAAAGCCGTGATAAATACCGGTGACAAGTCACGGTAAATCAGAAGAGCCTCGGAAAAATTCCAAATATACTGGTTTGCCGTAACAAAAAGATGTTGTTGGTCATATGGAGCTTCAGCGGACAAGGCTAAGGAGTGCCCCGTAAACGTACACAATCTCCACCTCGTAGAGCAACGACAATAGCAACAACAGAAGTAGTAGTCGCAGCACAAGCGGAAGAGAGAACATCGACAAAGAACACCGATGAGGCCTGGAAGAAAGTAAAAAGGAATTGGAAATCGTCTAACGTGTCGTCTCCCGCAATACACGACGTGCACCAACTAAAGCGGCAACCACCACCACCGTGAGAGTGGCCTGAGTAGTTGAAGAAGCCACAAAAGTAGGCGCAGCACAAAGAAGCACCACAACAAAATCAGCTGCAACCAAATCAGAAGCAACAGCAAGAACCACAACAACAGCAGCAAGAACAAATACGACAAGAGACCCACTTCGCAGCGTCGATGCGTGTGTGCCGTCTAACGACTTTGTCGTCTATTCAGCATGGGGACCAACATACCAGAGGAGTTTCTTTGCTGGTTAGCCGTACCCTGGTTGCGATGGTGGACCTTGTTCATGTCGATGCCAAGGGCCGGTTGATCGTGGCCGATGTTGCCGTGAAAGTGGTTCATTCCGAGTCGTTGCGGTTTATGCGCCAATCGACCGCGGCAGTTGGGGCCGTTCCTGGTGGATTCAACGCGCCTAGTCTTAATGGGGGACTGGAATACCATCCTGGATCCCAAGTTAGTTAGGGGGCGGGTAGCTAGAGGGAGGAGGGGCGAGCGTAGCTTGGTTGATCTGATCGATGAGTTTGGTCTCGTCGATAGATACCCGGTCAATCACTCCGGGGGGGGGGAGATATGGACGTGGGCTTTTAATTGGCCTTCTACCCAGGTGGTTAGCTACCTGAATAGAATGTTAGTCAGAGGAGCTGATATAGATCTACTAGATTCTCCTACTTTCCGCTGAGTAGGCGATTAGGATTCATTTGTGCCCGGATGGTATTAGATTGTAGACCTAGACTGACTGGCTACTGGAAGTTCAATTTGTCTTCACTGGACAGGCGGGCCTTCCAGGAAGAGCTAACTAGCTTAGTGCAGCAAGAACTAGTGGGAGCGGTTATCGGGAATAGGTGGTAGGAGAGGCTTAAAAATAGGATTAGGTCCTTCACTACCGAGTTTAGCAAACTGCCCGATAGATAGAGCTAACAAGGTGAAGGGTCTTAAGGATAGTTTTTCCCGGGCGGTGACTGGGGAGTCCTGAAACGTTTGACTCGCGAGCGCTACATGGGCCAGGTAATTAGACATAGGTTAAGCAAGATGGCTTCCGAAGCTGTGAACATAGGCGCAGAATTGCGCAAGGAAGTGATCCGTCGAGGTTCCAGTCGGTACATTCCTGAGGTCAAAATCCCACAGGGGCATACTCTTCGGGCCACTGACGGGACACGTAGTCTCGTAGCTATTTGGCTCACTTTCCTCGGCTCTCGCTGATTGAAGCGGCTAGCTGCGAGGGAGAGATCACGGAGGGCGGAGTCTACGCGGCATTGAAGAAGCTTGGCAGAGGCAAGTCGCTCGGTCTGGATGGTTTGCACTATAAATTGTACTTGAGGCTGTAGCACATCTTTGTCCCGATTTTGACTGTCGTGTTCAACAACTGGTTCCGCCAGGGGTTCGTCACCAGGGGTGTGATCACGTTGTTAAAGAAGGGCAAGGATATTGGGCGGGATTTAGACGACTATAGGCCCATAACTCTACTAAACACTGGGTTAAAGATTTTGGCCAAGATCTTGCAGGAGCGTTTGCAGTCAGTTGCCGAGTCTCTGTTGGGTCAGGAGCATGTTTGCTCTGGGAAGGGCCGAACAATTCAGTGCAACCTGCATCCGATCACACCATCATAGAAAGTGTAAAACTCGACGATGAGGCCGCGCTGATCAATTTAGATCAGTCCAAGGCATTTGACAGAGTTGACCATCGCTACCTTGCTGCTGTTCTGCAGGCCGCAGGATTCGCACCCGCTGGATTAGCCTATTTTATCGATCCTGCAGTGCTGTGGTACAGGTAAACGGGAAGTTGTCGGGCGCTTTTGAGCTTTCTCGGTCGGTTCGCCACTGTCGCCCCTACTTTACGGTTTGGCGGAGCCTCTCCTTCGCCGGCTAAGTGACAGGGCATAGTCCGGCCCTACTTGGAATAGCTATCCCTGAAAGGGCTCAAGCCAAGGTTTCCGCGTACGCCGATGGCGTATTCACCTTCGTGTCGTCCCGCAGCGACATTGAGGTGGTACTGAAGGCGCTTGATCGGTAGAGGCAAAGTTCGATGCGGCCGGTGAGATTTTGCGCCGACTGAGGTTGTTTGTGAAGGGCAGGGTGCAGCGTGTGCCACTTACGTCTTTCCTCTTGTCCTTTATCGCTTGTCTGTACTTCCTCTCTGTAAAAACCATAAGAAGGCTCTCGCTATCCTCCATTTTGTGAAGGGGACGCAAGCATCAGGTCGACAGAGAAGTCTGTGCACAACGTCCGTGTCATGGGGAGCTGGGAATGCCACACTTTGCGAGTCACAAGCTCGCCTCGTGGTTGGCTTTCCTGCGGCGCGCATTGACGGAAGATTCAATTGTGGAGAGGATTGTAAGGGACGCCTTCCCTTGCCTTATTATCGATCTCCCCATCTCGCGCGTTGAGCGCCGTCGTAAACCCCGGGATCAATCGGATTTCCTTCGCGTCTTGAGGATCATTCTTGGTCCATTTAGCTTTATCAACCTAGGAGGGTCTTCTATCGTCATCTAGTGGAGGAGGGCGCGAAGGATCCACTACGTAAGCGACTCGACTTGTCGAATGCGGAGTTTCGCTTCTCCTGCTCTTGAGCGCCAACAACGGATTACCTCAGTAACCCTGAGTTTTCGCTTACCTGACGACTGGCTCGGAGTAGCCTGCCTCTCAATGGCAAGGCCTTTATATGGGGCTTGGCGGACTTGCCAGACTGTGAACGATGTGACTTTGGCCTAGAAGAAACGGTTTCGCATGCCTTTTACCATTGTTCTTGGATCCACTTCCTATGGGACCATGTCGGCGAGCTGACGGCTCGCATCGCTCCCGAAAAGCTCGTGCTCATTGATCACGCAAACGCGTGTGACAGTGTGTTGCCCCCGTATTCTGGGGTGAAACGAATGGTGTTTCTAACGCTGCTGGCCACGGCCCGAATGGTGATTTGGACGACGCAACTGGAGGAAGTCTTGCTAGGCAACCGTCTTTCTTATCAGGATCTGATGCGATTCTTTAAAGAAGATTAGAACGGGTAGAAAACGCTTGATTTCGACAGACTTTAGCGAAATGTGGGTGACTGAGGGGAGCTTGGTTCGTTTGAACGGGGCTAGCCTTGATTTTCTCTTTTAGGTCAAGCTATACCACATCGGGGTGGTTTCTTGTGGAGCCCTACCATGGTTGGGCTAGACAAGTTTTGAGTACCTAGTTAATGTGAGTAAGTGTTCCCGGCCTGCTCCCGGCTACATCTTTTGTTATGATCCAAATTGAGATTCCCAACGCCCCAGTTTGTTTTTGGCCCCTTTTCATCTCGACTGGGTCAGCCTTATTTATTTCCCATGTCCGTGTATATATTTTCTCTTTTCCCCTCTCCCGCCAGATATCCTAATTATTTTGCCCAAGGGTAGAATACAGCGGCTTCTTTTTTTTTTGAGGGTTGGACGGGTCCTACTAAGATTAGTCATGTTTATTTTGCTTTGTTTTTATATTTAGTTTGTTTTGGGGTTCATCTCTTCCCCTCTCATGGTCAATCATCAGACTTTTATGTATAAAATACTTATTATTATCATCAAATTTTTATCTCATGTGGTGCGTTTTGTAGCCCCCCCCCCCGAGAGGATGTGGTATTATGGTGTATGGAGGATTGATTGGCGACGGATGAGTTTTTATGGTGAATGCGCAATTGTAATGAGTGAAAAGTTCGTGAATCGGATTAGCTAGGTATAGGATAGTCAGTGAAAACCAGCTCAACCCATCCCTCTTTTCGGTTTTGTGCCATAATTGTATTTATATACAATAAATATAGACTAGCTGGAATTTTTTCCAGCTATGCTGGTCGCATTCTCTGCCTCCAGGCAGAGTGGATTCCCAGACGAGGCTATGTCGAAGGGCAGAGTCTCGTCTCGGGAAACAGTTACCGGACCCGTTTTATACAGGATCTACGGGGAATTTTTGACCAAGACTACGGGCTCGGAATGCCCGACATTAACCTCGGCCTTGTGCTACATTCCACCTCGTTGGGTAAATATCGACTAACTAGGATCTGTTACTCCGCTCTTTAGCTGTTGTCGAACTCTCTACTTTCGGGAAGAGAGGAACCCGGACGAGGCTATGCCTAAGAGCAGAGTCTCGTCCGTGGAGGTAGACAGAGCTGAACCTGTTTATGCGGGATATACGTTGAATTTTTGGCCGAGCCTACGGGCTCGGATTGCCCCACATTATATTAGGCCTTGTGCCACATCCTACGCCGCGGGGAAGTTGGTAAATAATACTAGCTGGGATCTGTTGAGTCCGACTCAGACTTACGCGAGAACTACCGACTTTCCAATAGTATCTCTCACTACTGGATTGACTTGCGACGACCTTGTGCATAACTGTTACCTTTATTCTTATTGTACTGATTTTTACAATAAACCTTTACTTATTTTATCCACCTTGTTTTTCAAGTATATATTCCTATTAACACAGAATATAACAGTAATATTGTACAGGAAATTGGTAGGTTGGTAATTTCCTATTCTACATAAAATTGGAGGAAAAGTTATTCACTAAATAACATTTAGGGGCTCTTTGGCAGAAAATTGAGATAGTTAATATTGTACAGAAAATTGGTAGGGTAGCTATTCCTTATTCTACAGAAAATTGGAGGACTGTTTATTCTCTAAAAACTTAGAGGCTATCTACAGAAAATTGAGGGGAATTATTTTACAGAAAATTGATCAGGAGACTATTCTACATAAAATTGGAAGGGAAGCTAGTCTCTCTTCTGTAGAAATTAGTCAGGGTATTCTGTAGAAGCACCAATTTACTCTTATGAAATATAGATAAAAATGAATCAAATGATGACAATATCACTCACGTACCTGCTGAGCAAAACAAGACAATATCTGCTTTGTTGAATAGCTGACAAGATATTTTCTACGATTTTCCGCCCAGGAACAAAGTCGCGATGATGAATGTTCAAATGTAGATTACCGTGCTCCTCTAGTTCCGGTATCATTTTATTAATTACAAACTCTCCTTCATCTTCTGAATAACTCACAAATGCATCGAACACAAAGTTTTCAGCTTTTTCATTCTGAAACGAATATCTAGCTTTCATCATGTAGTAAAAATAACGTAGATTCCAACGGTAGCGATAGATGAACCCCCCTACGAGACAAATGATCAACACAAACATTAAAATGCTGGCCGGTAGAATCAAAGAAAGGATAGAGCTACAGGATTTATCTAAATGTTGAACGACTCTTTCCAGGTAATCACCCTTCAAACTCGTAGAGGTTCCATTAGCGAAAATGCATTTCTCGTAAATCAAATTAATTTTTTTTGATTGTTTTGTCATTAGCATCCATTTTAGAAAATTCATATAGTAGCAAGAACACTTTAATTTGTTTCTCATTAAATTCACCGTGATGTTTTGAGTGAGTGAAATATTTTCAATCTCCTTGTACGTTTCTGCTGATAAGGATTCAAGGAAGTTGTTGGAAAGGTCCAACATGCCTAGGTTCCTCATGTTTCCAATTCGTATCGAGAACGTCTGGAGAAGATTATCACTCAGATCGAGGTAGCTCATGTTGACCTGATTTATCAGACTAAATTTGGATATGTTTGCAATACGATTATTAGACAGTGTTAAGGATTCCAGTTTGGTTAGATTCTGAAATACCACGTTAAAACCATCCATGTTTTTAGAGATTCCTAGGAGATTATCATTGATATAAAGTGTTCGAAGAGAAGCGAAGAAGGAAAAGAAAATATTTGAAACAGTTCGGCACATGTTATTACTCAAGTCCAGCAAGATCATTTTCTCCAAACCTTTGATTGGACCTTGCCAAGGACAAAACATATTACCAGATGCATTTATATAGCGGACTACACTACTAAAACGCGGGTTAAAATAAGGCAGTGGATACTTAATATAACAGTCACTGAACAAAATTACCTCCAACGACATTTTAGAGTTATTGTATAAGTTTATATCATTACTAATAGAATTTTTCGAATAATAAATATTTAGTAAATTATAGTGATTCAATTTAAAGCTAAAATCGATGACGCGAATATTTGGCAGATGGTAAATTTCAATAACGTACCATCCAAGCGTAAGTCTGTTGTCTCTAAGAGATAGATATTGAAGTGTACTTGGAAGCATGGTCAACGCTCCGGCTTGAAAAAATTCCAGTTTATTCGAATCCAAATGTAACGATTTTAGAGAAGTCGTTTTCAAATTTTCAACATCTTCTATTTTAAACTCTGTTCCCAAGCCGAAGATTTCGTGAATGGCGCTGATATTCAGAAACTGGAGAGTGGAGATATTCCTCAAACCATATAAAGCCTGTCTTAGCCCAAGAAATGTCATGTTTCTGTTATAGGATAAGTCAAGAACTGTCAGTGATGGTAGATAACTGAATGTGTTTTTATGAATATCTTTAACTCTGCAATAGCTCAGATTCAAATACTTTAGATATGGTAAATTTTGAAATGCTTGTTCGGGAATAACTTCCATCAAGGAAGGTTTATTCACACTGGAAAAACTAACGTAATTCAAATATTTTAGTCTCCTGTAGAGATGTCCAAATATTTTTCCACTAAAGCCAACTATATACAACGATTCTAACGAACGAAGTTTGGGCACTGATTTGTCCAGATAATCACCATAAAACTGTTTGTTCATTCGCAACTTAAGTCGCTTGAGACGAACCAAGTCAGTAAAAAGGTATGGCGCGAATGTTGTGATAACTAATTCCAACTCGTTGTTTTCGAGAGAAAGTTCTTGCAAGTAAGTCAGGCCTCGGAAGCAATCTGGATGTAACCTTTGTAATCGATTATTATCGATTCTCAAAATTCTTAGTTTCTTCAATTTTGAGAACCCCATTGCTGGGAGGGATGTCATAATATTATCGCTCAAATCAAGAAGCGTTGCCAACTTTGGTAATGGAGATGGTATTTTGCGGAGATTTTGACCAATGCATCTCACTTCACATCCGTTCTCTGTTACCTTACATTTGCAGACTGAAGCACATTGGTCGCTACAACTTGATGCTACGAACGCTCCAGCCCATGAAGACGTTACTGCTATAAATAAAATCAACATGGCTGCATTGTCATCTGAAATACAACAAAAATAAAAAATAAATCATTTAATTAGCTAATATTCAGGCAATTGTTCTTATAGACATTTTTAAACAATAGACATTTTGTGTCAGTTACATTTAATGATCTTTTTCATAATGCCGGAATATACTTTTAAAAATCTGGTTGTTCGTGTGTGGATCTTCTTCTCTCTCCCGTCCCCCTTGAGAATGTTGGCGATCCACAACTTCTTCTACACTGGAGCCTTTGCTATCTCTCTTAATCCCTGTTCTGCCAACCATTTATACAAGCGCGTTAGGGATGTTACACACTGCATTCCTCTATCACTCTTGTCTTCAATATGAGTGTCAAATTTTCCAAGCCCTCTTTCCTCAGTATATGCCCTAGAAATTTCAAGTCTCTTTCTGATGCTACGTATAAATATTATTTTTTGTTCCCATTTACTCTAAAACTTTTGTGTTGCTCACATTTTCAGTCCATGGTATTCGCATCATCCTTCTGTAGATCCACCATTCTATCACCTCAAGCCGCTTCTTCGTCTGTGAGGAGACTATCCATCATTTGCTGCCATTTAAGAGGTCTGATATTGCATAACAGCTTAGTACTTTTTTTCTATTTCTAACGAAATTTTCCTGTTTCCTAATACTTTGCTTAGCGTTTGGAAAGCATTTATCGCTATCCCAATGCGCCTTCGGATTTCGGTGTTTAACTTTGGTATCTCCAGTTTGTAATTCGCATTTTGGGTTGATTTTGTTGCTTACAACCATGCTTTCTCGCTTCTTAAAGTTAATGTTTAGTTCTTTTTTCTATCTTTCCTTTACTACTTTCTGTGGGAGTTCTTATAGTTTCGTCTATGTGTCTGCTAACAATACTGTGTCATCTACATATCTGCTATTGATAAGATTGTGACAGTTAATAATGAAAACTGGTAGGACTTCTAACTCTCTCGGGATTGCTTCACTGTACAGTTTGACTAAGTCCACTAAGAAGACACATCCTTGTTTTATGCCTCTTTATATCTTTGTGTATTTACTGAATTCGTTTTATACCCTCATGCAGGCTGTTAATTCCCAGTATATTTCTGGATTATTCTAATATTCTTCCCAAATAAATCAAGCTTACCTAGTCGAAACAGTTCTTCGTAGCGTAACTTGTTAAACGCTATAAAAACATAAGGATATATCGTTTTGCATCTCTGTTGCTCTTTCTGAGCATAAATATCGCATTCGCCCAAATTCATATTGTGTAGTCTGATTCGAGTAGGTTCACGTGTCATTTATCTGACCAAATTGCCATTATATAACACATAAACAAGTACCACAAGAATTACTAATAACTCCTTTCTAATTATAATAAGATACTTTATTAATCTACTTGTAAAAAAGGTAAAAAAATTATGGAAGCCAATTACATCAAATTAAAAAAAAAACACCCATAAATAAAAGAATTATTATTTGAGGCCCGGCATTCTTAAATACACATAAAAAAGTATTATTCCAAACACGTAATTTACTATTCTAAACACGTAAATTACTATTCTAAACACGTAAATTACTATTTTAAACACATTATTACACATTGGTGTGACCTGACCTGTTGCGTTAAGTCGCATTTAATTTACTTTTCAAAAAAGAAAAACAAATAAAAAAGAAAGTGCAGAATGAAAATATCAAGATATATATAACAGGACCCGATATGTCATCAGCCCTCCACGCTGTAAGTCGTGAAGATCTCATCAGAATCATTGAGTCAAAATGATATGTTTGCTACTTTGTAATACAAGTTTTTCTACAAATTAGATACATATTGATGTTGAAAATTTCGGGAGCTTTAAACGATCTCCACAAAGCGATTGTATATAAAGTGGCGTTTTCTCCAATAAATATCTTGAGAACTGCTTCAGAAAAATGAGAAATGATATCAACAAGGACATCCCACATGTAGAGCATTTATACTGCCAACTTGTTAAGACAAACATGGCGGATGGAAGGATCTGCGCGCTCCTACAGAAATGCAGCCCAATGTTTCTTAAAAAATCGTACGAGTGATACAGCAATCGCTATCACTTGACTTAAAATATTTTTGCCCTTTCTTCCCTTTAAAGAAGTGCCCTTTGCCGTGCTGATGTTGCTACATGCCTTACTTCTTGCCTATCTCATACTGCGAATTTTTTCTAAGCTCTATACTAAACATTAAATTTGTTACGAAAAAAGAACTAAACAAAATGAACACAAAACGATCAGCTTTAAAAAAAGGACTCATAACTGGAAAAACCGAATGAAAAATGAATTTTAACAACAAATACTTTTTCACACCCAACCCAGTTCTGCGGAATCAGAATCAACGTTGAGTTTAAGCAAACGAATGAGCCAACTGGAGTAAAGTGCCATGCAGATTTAAATTTTTCCGACTTGTGACGAATGCAGCTATCGATTTTTTTTGCATGCTAGCATGCTAGTTAACATTCATGTCAGTCAGCTGTTGGCTCTCACGCTGGCCAATAGAATCTTCCTGCCTATTCGTGGCAGTCGGCTATAAGCTCTCACTCTGACCAGTAGAAAATGGCCGCAAACTACATGAAAACTGCCGAAGAGGCATGAAAAAATCGATTATTTCCACTATCGATGGAAGCTGGGAAATTCAAAATCGGTCTTGACCTTCCCGCTAATGCATGTAAATTTTGGTGCAAGTCCGTCGAAAATTGCGGCCGTGCATTCGTTACATACACACGCACATTCTACCTTTTATACATAGAGATTTTATTTGTCTTGACGAGTTTCTTAATGCGTCCTTTTAGTTTTGCAGCAAACTTACTTATTGCTGTTTCTGTTGCTGAAATGCGTCGGATAGACTTTTTTTTTTTTTAAATTTACTTCCTGAATTACACTTGTTATTAAGGATCAAAGTTCAAACAAACTTTTTCCCTTGTAACTTTTCATTTGACTGGTCCAATGAATAGTAATCATAGTCTTAAGTCTTCAGCCTTTTGTAAATTACTGAAAGAATTTTAACACATCTGACAAAATTACAATTGTCATTCTTATGCACACGGTTTTGTCTCGACGTTTCATGCGTCCTGGGTATGATGCTAAACAACAACCGGCAGCAAGATCAATAGATTGGCGGTTTTGTAGGATCGTGGAAGCACCACTTAATTGCTGTTGTTCCCAGATTTACTCAGGGTGGTAGTGCCTGTTAGGATCCCTGCTATGGGTAAATAGTGCCCCCCCCCAAACAAAAATCAACGGTACATTTTTATAATAAAATGACCAACAATACATTTTATAGCAAAATGACAATCGATGCAACATTAAAAATATATAAAAATACATTTTTATAGTAAAATTGCCAACAATACATTTTAATATTTACAAAATATATATCTAAAAAAAACTTTCCTTTACTCTGAAAGTATAAAATTACATACGAAAGATTTACATTTCGGCATTAAATAACCCATAGAAGTGTTGATATGCAACTAAACAAAATCAAACAACCAACATGAAAGAACTAGGATTCCATAAATAAATCAAACTATAATCCAAAATATACCTTTAACTACAACATAAAACACATATCAAAGCCTCTAGTATTCAAGTCGGCATAAACATGTATATTCACAAAAGCTGAGTACATGATGTATTCAATTGTGAAAGCAGAACAACGTATATCATATTTTTATTACTTGAAAGCTCACAAGAAAATTAAATTTCAGCATTAAATGACCCATAAAGGTGTTGATATGCCGTCAAAAAAACAAAACAACTAAACAAAGAAAGAAACAAACAACATTTCACCCGTTGTATCTTCCGGCTTTTTAAATATTTTGTTTTGTTTTCTGCTACTACCTTAGCAGCCAAACTTTTTTTTTTGTCAAAAGAATTAACTGTCTGTCTATATTTCTGAGATGAGGTATTATGTACATTATTTACATTATTCGGACTATTGTCCTCATCTTTGTCGCCATATTTATCACAACGTCTATATAACTGAGATGAGGCATTATGTACATTATTTACATTATTCGGACTATTGTCCTCATCTTTGTCGCCATATTTATCACAACGTCTATATAACTGAGATGAGGCATTATGTACATTATTTACATTATTCGGACTATTGTCCTCATCTTTGTCGCCATATTTATCACAACGTCTATATAACTGAGATGAGGCATTATGTACATTATTTACATTATTCGGACTATTGTCCTCATCTTTGTCGCCATATTTATCACAACGTTTATATAACTGAGATGAGGTATTATGTAAACAAAACAAAATCAAACAACCAACATGAAAGAACTAAAATTATGTTCAATACCCGGTTAAGACAGTGGAGAACTTTCAGAGGGAAATTAACAGGAGATAACTGATAACTGACATCCATCAAACATGGCACGTGGAACTACCCCAGTGAGCGAAATAAAGGGTTCAGTTCGAAATTCCAACTACCTGAAGAAGGCCGGAGCGTACAACGGCCGAAACGTTGTGATAAATATGGCGACAAAGATGAGGACAATAGTCCGAATAATGTAAATAATGAATTAACTGTAGTTTGTTGTAGATATATGCGTACATTTCTCATTGTACTATCTTGCTTCTGAGCGATGATCAATTGACTTGAACAGAAGAAAAATGGCTTTATCACGTTGAAACACCAATTTTCTTACGATGATCGAAATTAAGTAGCGTTGAGCATGGTCAGTACCTAGACGGGCGACCGCTTAGAAATCCCTGGTGCTGTAAGACTGGGTGTGCGGGTGGTATAATAGTTATAACTTGGAATCGGGAATCGGAGGGGCCGAGTTCCAATTTCAGTGAGGTTCGTTATATTCACTTACTCGGAAATACCTTTGCGAAATGCATGAATCCACTTCTTTTCGTCCAGCTATGGGCTAATTAATAGGAGTTTTATCAGTAAATCATTATCTCCTAAAAATTCCTACAATCTAAAAAAAATTTTCTGACTTTAAATAATATATATAAGGTAGTTGAGCCGAAAAAAAAATCGATCACTCAGAAATAAATGTTGACACTTTTCTGTTTAAAAATAAAGAAATTCTAGGAAGGGTTAATGATACTTTGTGCATTGGTTAGAAGCAGGTTTGTTTGCCTAAGACGAGGAGTGTAAAAAGATATTTTAAATTTGCTGTTTTCTATGTAAAAAGATATTTTAAATTTGCTGTTTTCTATGTAAAAAGATATTTTAAATTTGCTGTTTTCTATGTAAAAAGATATTTTAAATTTGCTGTTTTCTACTACTAATTTAAAGATCTTTTGTAGCTAAACTTTTGCTGCGAAAATAATTAACTGCCGTTTGATTTATCAGTGCGTACATTTTTTACTGTGATATCTGCTTCTCACCGACAAAATTCAAAGTGAGCCATTATCAATCCACGTGAGAAGACAGTATTTTTGCTAGCGTTGTTCATGGTAGGGGAGATAACTCCTATGCGTTATCTTTTTTAAATGATTTTGTCCTTTTGTTAATTAGTCACCAAATAATGACAATAATTCATATAAGAACAACAATTATCAAAGATGGTGATATTAGTCCGAATCAGTTATTCAATTATACCGTATATACTCGCGGATAGGTCACACTTTTTTTTATCAAAAATTTCACAAAACATTAGGGGTGCGACCAATCCGCTCGACGTCACTTACCTTTTCATAATGATTTCTGAGGAATCGGAAATGATACCCAAACATTAAAGTTTTTCTCCGTATAGAAACAGTTTATATATTATATATACTAATTCACTGCTGCTAGATTCACATATCAATCACAATAAATAAATAAAATCATGAAATATTTATTGATCGATCAGTCACTGTTTGGACGGGGCCCTCACACTAGACTGATATAGAAACCATGAACATATGTTAAGGCAGGGTTTTTCAAATTTTTTGACTTGCGGACCCCTTTATATTTCAGGCTTTACCTTAGGGACCCCCTTATAAACGCTTATGAAATTTATACATAAATATTTGCTGAATATAACATATAATTTTGCATTAATGCAAACACCTAACAGCCAATGAGAAAGCCGGAAATCGCAAAATAGATTTAAAATTCAAATCATTTGGTTCCTTCTCTGCATGAATAGAATCCATTATCTTTATCAATTTAAGATACAAATTATATTAATATATCAAATCTATAAAATAGTTTATTGAACCAATTTATTTCATAATCGGCCTATAAGTTACTTATAAGCGCTTATAAGTTGCCCGTCACCCATAAAAAAAGTGTTTGCTGTCCGCGCACCACAGTTTGAAAACCCCCGCGTTAAGGAACCACGTGTAGAAGTTTATTGACAAAGAAAAATAGTCCCACAATTCATTCTGCAAAATATACATATTTTGTCAAAAATACGTTGAAAATATGAAATTTATCAGAAAATTATTTAACTACAGAGCAACCTCGGTTTTCGAACGTCTCACATGTCGAACAAATCGGTTTTCGAATAACATTGCCGAACCGAGTTAACCCGAACGGAATCATTTCTTAGTCGACCGCCATGTTATATACATTTTATGCTGTGCTTTTCTTTTCCAATTTTATTGTACTGTGCCTTTTTTTCTCTTTATTAGTCCTCAGTCATGGCCCCAAAGAAAGCTAGCAGTGATATTGGTAAAGGAAAAAGAAAAGTTAAGAGAAAAACAATTGTTGATGATATTGTCTCTTCCAATTCAGTTTCATATGGCAAAATCAACTATCTATACTATTCTTATAAATAAAGAGACGATCATGTCTTTGCTTTCCCTTTTCCAAAAAATAACATCTTTTTCCTTCCCCTTCGACTTACGCCGTTATCTCTCCTACATACAGGTACGCTAATATTGAAGTGTTCGTCTATATTTTATCTGTTTAGTATTGTTTTTTTTTTGGTTTTTTTTCTTAGATTTAATAATTTTCATTAGTTTTGCGTATAAACTTGTGCACAAAGTACTGTTGTTTAAATAAGCAATCATCTTGGGACCAGGAACGGATTAATTTACTTTACATTGATTCCTATTGAAAAATAGTTTCGGCTTACGAGCATTTTGGGTTACGAATGAGCTTCAGGAACGAATTTAATTCGTTAAGCGAGGTTCTATTGTAGTTTAAAAAAAGCCAAACGTTAACTTTACTAGGAATATCTGGGTTAGAATACCGAAATAGAATTAAATAAATAAAAAATGTCATTTATGATCATCGGCATCTCTGCTCAATAAAAAAAAATCATTCAAAATATTTATAAGTTTAATTAATAACTTACTTGAAAATGGAATGAAGTAACTGCGTCTGTTTTGTGGTTTTGTGTCCGTAAACGATGTTTATTTAAAGGTTATTTTCATCTTAAAATGAGAGGTGTGAACAAGTCAAGTTACAATAAGAATTGAAAGTTCGTCGATTCTGGAAAAGTGCTAAAAAAATGCCTTCCGGGACAGCAATAAATAATGTAGGTCATGAAATAAACACATAGACGGACTTGTCACTTTCAGCTATAATTACGCTATTTTCTGTAAACTGATAATAAAAAAGAAAAGGGCATTATTTTACATTGTAAATATTTACTATTCAACATAGCTGGCCTCTTTTTTTAATACTCCTACATCAGTAGTACACTAAGCTAGAGCATAATTTTATATCCTGCCTCTTCCGGACGTAGGCGATCATGGTTCTCCACGGTCATCATTATTAGCCTCGTGATCGCAACTGAACACCGGATCATTCTACGCCATATAACTGGGTTGTAAACGGATAGGCAATCTCTCTACAGGCCAAACCATAGCTGATCGTTTCCAACATTTATCCTTCTCTAGGCCCTCTCTATTCTTGCACGTCTATCTCTCCTTTACTTTCTTTCTCTCTCTCTGTCTCGCTCTCTTTCCCCCTCTTTATCTCTCTGTTTCTCTCTCTCACTATTTTCACTCTGTCCCTTTATTCTCTCTCCCCCCTTTATCTCTCCATTTCTTACTTCTTCTTTCGTTATCTCTCTACTTTTCTGTTATCTTTCCATCCCACTCTTTCTATATTTATCACTCTCTCTCTGTCCTCTTTCTTCTTCCACATATATCTTCTTCCCTATCACTGTCATTCTCTCTTCTCCTTCTTTATCTTTCTCCTTCTCTCTGCCATTCTCTTTCCTCTCTTTCTCTCCCTCCATCACTCTCTGTCATTATTTCTCTTTCTCTCGCTCTCTTCTCTCTCTTGTATTTCCTTTCTCTTCATATCACTCTCTCTATCATTTTATCTCTCCTTATTTTTCTCTCATTAGCTAGCGTCTTATTTCTCTAATTCTTACTCTACCCCTTTCTAGAGCTTTCTCCATCCTACTCTCTCTTCCTTTACTTCTCTCTCCTTCTTTCTCCATCTTTCTCTTTCTCTCTCTTCCTTCTTCCTCCCCCTCTTCCTACTCTGTCTTCCTCCCTCTCTTAAACTTATTCTGGAATTCACCAGGATGTAAAATACAAATAAGTCAGCAGATTTCCTCACTAAACTGCTAAAGTCATGACAGACTGCTCGATCCTTGCTATACAACTTGCGCCTAGTCCGCGTAGCCTGTTCCAGTAACAATGACACACTAGGTAATGCGCTTTCTTCCTTCATGAACTCTTGTTACTGGTCAAATATCAAAATTAACGCCAAGACTATCTCTAAAAATTGACGGATAATATCAATATCCAGGCAAGCAGAGCCGTAATTCGACCAATAAATCAAAAATCTTTCACAACCAGGATGTAGGAAAATAATTAAATAAATAATAACAAGAAGACCAAAATTTCCTAATTTCTAAAAATGGATAGTTCTACCAACCAACCAACCAACTAACCAACTAATCAAAAAGCTTTCACAATCAGGCTATAAGGCCGGGATCCAATTAAAAGCGAGTGGTTGTTTCAAAGTGTATATAAACAGACATAAAAACAACCCAAACCAGCTAAGCGGTCCTTAATACATTGAAAATAAACACACTTTCCTTCATCACATAGTCAGTCGGCAGCTACTGCATTTAGATACAAAACATTCATCACTTATATGCATATATAAATACATTCTCACTCCTTCATTCTCTCCCACAAAAATGGCGCCCATGTGTGGTACCTGACGCATATTTTTAAAAATATTACAAATTGTCTGACAATGAAAACCGTTCAGTATAGGCTGTATCCGTCAAGCCACTTGCTTTGATTGAGCGTGGTTTTCCATCATGGAAGCCGAATTCAATATTGCAGACATTCATATAAAGAAGCACGGGGAAAATGTTATCGCACATTGGCGTCGCTCCCTCCAGATATATTGAGAAAATTGTAAGCAGCTACACTCAAAGGATTATGAAAAACTAAAAGAAGTTGTAATAAGTTCACACGAAAAACCTAAATCAGAGATGCTCGACAAATTGATGCCATCTTCAAAAATCACAGGACGTCCTTCATCATATCCAAACGAGCTTATATCACTAACCAGTCGGATTGGAATTGGTGAGGATATCGTTCGACGTAAGTTTATTCAGGCGTTTCCACTTTCCATCAAGATCTGGAAACAGATCGCCTTGGAAAAATGGTAGATAACCTTCTCTTATATTTTAATAACCAAGACTCTGTACAATTCCAGCAAGTGACACGATGTCATTATTACAATAGCAGAAGTATGGATTCTCTAAAGAGAACAAATCCAATGTTCGTCCTTTCAACAAGGACCAGAAGCCAAAAGCTTGTCCGCCTCGTTTATATTTTGCCGATTGTGCAAAATTCTACCATTCATGGTGAAGGTGGCCAGAGGAAAAGAACGTTAAAATATTTCTTCGTTCCCGCCCACTTTCACCTGCTGAAACGCTGGAAAACTAAATCGCTAAGATGCTCACCTTTACTTATTCGTCGCTTCTTGGAGTCGCTACTCACTCAAAAGATTAATTTTGTTGTGGACACAGGAGCTGTCATGTCGATCATACCTAAGAAATATTTAGGTGATGTAGTTATCTACCACTAACAGAGAGAAGATTGAGTGTTCAGGACATGCTATATTAAATTTGGCGGTGCACAACCACAGACGCGAGTTCAGGTGGACGTTTGTGAACGCAGATTCCACATAATTACTTCTAGGTTGTGATTTCTTAAATGATTTCGGTCTGACGGTTGACTGCACCAACAATAGACTGATTGGCACAACAACTAACAGATTATATAACGCAAAACCGACTCCTGAGATTATGAACATCGTAGTGGACCGAGATAATGCTGCTGATATGACGGAAATTATGGAAAATATCCAAACATAATTTCACCTCACGCACAGAAAGTAGAAGAATATCAACGAAACACCAATAAAAACATATAAATCATTTTTAACTTAAAAAGGAATATATATATATATATATATATATATATATATATATATATATATATATATATATATATATATATATATGTTCTGTTTTGTAATAAACAACATTTATCGGCCTGAATGTCCGAGAATTTTCATAGAAAATATTCGTCCTCCGACAGGATTCTAACTTGTATCTTATACGAAACCTGTCGAAGGACGAATATTTTCTATGAAAATTCTCAGACATTCAGGCCGGTAAATGTTGTTTAATACTGTTTATTATAAACAGAGCATTTACTTAAATATTTGTATCTATAAAAAAGAATGTATAAACATAAAATGTCTTTATATATATATATATATATATATATATATATATATATATATATATATATATCCTTCTTTTCAATGGAATACGGAGGAGACGAGAGTGATAAGACCCTGTATACGTGGCATAACGGGTCTTAACTGTAAAGGTCTGAACTAGAGAAATCATACTTTTCCCAAGCGAATATAACGGCCTTGGCTGGAGTTTCAACTTGTTAAGCTGATTCCACTTTCCACACCGATAACCGCTACACTACGCGCACATAATCTAAATTAACACCAACAAGTAGAGGTAGAAATTGCGATATTTTTTACCATCGATTTACATTGTAAAATATTTCACTATAGAAATGCATTGAAAATCAGAAGAAGAAAATTATCAATAAATAACAATTAATGCAAGTATGAATAACAATGTTGACTTATTAACTCCTGTGGGTTATTTAAAGGCGGAACATATTTCAGATTATAGGAGATTCTTTACTTTACCCATTTAAGTTCTGACCAGGTTCGACACTGCTTAACTTCGGTGATCGAACGAGAAACAGACACAACGTCTTTCGTGTTGTGGCTGAAGTCTTATACTTCATAGAGGAGTGCAAAGGACATGAGTGAATGAGTGTTTTACTACACACAGGGTGCGATTAGATAAATTACCGCCATTTTATATTTTTAATGCACGTTGTTTTCTTTTGATTTTGTCGACTGCACAGTATAGCAGGCTGAATTGAGCACCGTCTGTGAGAAAAAGCACACCATAAAAATCTAATGCAAACATTTCAGAGTGTTTGGGTGTCAATCTAAGGACATTGTAGAGGTTTCGGAAAGATGAGTCTAATGGTGATTACGAAGGTGTTTGAAATGATCACTAGTGATGGCGACGTCATGCCTCCATTCATCTTCCCACAGGCCCTCAAACTCAACACGGAGGTTTACATCAAGTGCCTTGAGGTGGTAGTGCTGCACTGTGTCAGGAGGGTGGCTGCTGGATGATCCTGGCAACATGACTCTGCACCATGCCACATAAGCAGGAGAACCCAGTCATGGCTGTCAGACAATTTATGCGACCACATTACACATTACATCTGGTCACCTAACTCCGTAAACTGAAACCCTCTTGATTATTATGTGTGGGCGCAGTTGAACGAGAGACCAACAAAACTCCTTGTAATACCAAAGATGAACTGAAGACAAGGATTATGGCATCGCTCACCAACTTGAACAAGGAGACCGTTCAGAAGAGTTGCAGGAGATTCTAAAGTCGTGTGGAGACAGTGATTGAAACCAATGGCAATTTTATTGAATAAATCTACTCTTTAGTATTTCAAGATATTTTTGTGTCATTTTGGTAAATATATCTGTTAAAATGAGATGTCAGTGTTAATTTCATTTTTTGCGGTATTTAGACGACAATTTATCTATCGCACCCTGTAAATGAATTGTAAAAAATTCCTATAGAAATACATTGACAAGCCGAAAAAACGGAACTGTCAGTGGTTTGAAAATTAATGCTTGCGTTAACTATATACATATATAATAAACGCAATTAGGCACCCCGAGGCGGTGTAATGGTTAGCAAGCATGTCTCGCTGAAGCAATTACGAATGAGTAGTGAGTTCGATCATTACTGGGTGCCCCATACTTTCGGCCTTGTGCCACATCTAAGCTAGCCTGGAATGTCACTATAATAAATGCAATTATGAACACGGTAACAAAGTACTGGCCGCATTCGGGAATTAAGAATAGGTCTACTTGTGTTTGGCTGTAATTAAACTGTGAATGTATTCTTTGTTGAAATCAGAGTCATTGGATTGGTAGTTGTAAATAATGAAATCCGTGATATCCTTTTTTAGCAATCCGGTGGTAAATTTTAAAACGAAGTTAAGAGCGTCCAGATGTGTATCCGATGGTTTGAATTTGAATAAATTTGTTATTAAAGACTTTTTGCTAATTTTAGACCATTTGCTTTCAGAAATCAACGTATTTAGATTGTTTAGTAAATTACGGATTTGCTTATTGTTATTGTAATTGATCGACTTTCTTAATTCATTTTGTTCGTGTTTATTTAGGATGTTGTGGTGATGAAGATCATTTCCTTTATTTCTATTTATCAAAATGTATTGCTTTTTTTTCTTTGAATTCATCTGCAGATGATTTTGGTAATTTGTAAGCTTAGAGATGAAATATATGTCGTATGGTTTTGAGTAATTTATGCGAACATTGAGGAATAACTTTTCTTCAATGAAATTTTTAAGAATTTTTTTTTTTTCAGTTTCCGTAAGAATGTTCTGATATTGATAATTCTTTTTATCTTCTAATTAAGTGTATATATATGTTTATGCTTTCCTTGTCGACAATGTGTAAAATTTCAGATAGAATATATCTGTAAAAGGACAATATGAATAAAGACAAAAGGAAAAATTATTTTAGCCGACGCGTTTCGTCCTCTGAGGGACTTTATCAAAACAAATGTAAGTATTTTATTTTGCAACAAAGTTGTTAGTTTTTTAAATAAATTAAATTTAATAAAATGCTCATAAATATTCATCAGATTAGCTGAAAAGTTTAGGTACGTTATGGAGGACGCTGAGTAAAAATGTCCTTAAAATTTTTTATGCAAATTAATATTTAAATTATATTTGTTTGAGATTAATTTATGTGTTAAATATTTTAAATAACATGAGATTATGAATTTAACCGATTTTTTTAAGTTTTAACATTTTTATAGTCATCTATGTTGGCTTGGGAAAGTAGTAATTCTTTCAGGAATTGAGATATTTGAAAAAATCAGGGGCGCAGATTTATACTATTATAAGATACGATAGCGGCACTCTCAGGAATTTTCCGTCTAAGCTATTTTCTCTTTTAATAAGTGTGTCATGCTTTAAATCAAAGTCGTAGCTAACTTTATTTCGATGTACAAGTAATTTATTTATAACTAAGACTCCTTTTGTGTTCATCGATACATTTTTTTAATTACTGCAAGTTTCTCCAATATATAGTGAGGAGCAGTTTTGGTTGTTTAGTTGATATATACGTCTTATTACTATTATTGTTATGGGTATTTTTGGTTCTGAACATATCCATAATAATTTGGGATGTGGTTGTAATTATTTTGGCGTTAATAAGATTAGATAAATTGTTTTGGATGTTGCGGTGTTATTATGGATGTTGTATGTATCTGTGTTTATCTAGTTTATTGTCATTTTTATTGTTGTTAATAATGTTGTCATCTTTTTGTGGTTATATATTTTGTATGCCTTTCTCTTAGCATTGTGAATGAAATAATAAGCATATTGGAAGTTTTTGAAAGCGTTTTCTATGTATATTTTTTTCTTTATTGGGGTTGCCCATTCTTACATAGATTCCTATAATTATTCCAGATTTAATCTTGTTACAGTGATATTTATAAAAATTGATAAGATCATTCTTGTTGGTAGATTTTCTGTAAACCTCCAACTGAAGTTCGTTATTGCTTCTGTGCAGCATGATATCTAAGAAGGATAGTGTTGTTTGACTCAGATTCAGAAGTAACATCTATTGAGGATTCGACATTATTCAGTTTGTTGATAAGATGGAGTAAAATTATGTTCTGTGAATATATTAATAGAGAATCATCTATGT